TAACAGCTGCCTCGCTTGGCGATCAGCATAAAGAGGTTAGTGTCATGACTGGTCGGCCTGGTGTTAGGATAAAGTGACTGGGTGGGACATCATGCCACATGTCTGCGGCATAATGCCCCAGTGCTAGACATCACTATGAACTGTCACACTGCATACATCGTAACGATATGACTGAAAAATTGTTAAAGCTACGTTAAAAATCTAAATCACACACATTCACTAACGACAAAATAAAACAAATATACAAGATTTTAAGTTTGGTAATATTATCATTGAAAACCAGATCGGTCAGACTCGCTATGGAGTCAGCATGCAAGTAACGTCTGCATTAAAGCCAGCAAGCCGCTTGAATATCCGTACAAGTTTCAGACACAACGTTGACAGAGAAACCTTAGAATGTGTGTTGTCTTTTATTTTGCAATATGGCAAGAACTGCAGCATTAACTAAAACAGGAAAGCAGCTAATGTACCACAGTCATTACAGTGAGATTCGCTGCGAAAACAGAAGAAAAAAAAACACTCCATTCGACGTTTTTTACAATGAGCTTTGTTGAGAAATATTAGCAGAGCGCATTAATCAAGCAACTAGTTCTTATATACACAATTCTTAATGGAGAATCGCCTTGATATTTCGGCAGCATACTTGCTTTGCAGAACCAGCATCAAAATCGGAATTTTATCTTTGACGTATCCGACCAGGAAGACAGTCTCTTTTTAAAACAGCATGTTTCCATTCACAATCGATCTTTGGAAATCATCTAACGTTGATAATATCCTAACCTATTCCCTTTTCTTTGTCCCAAAACAATCATCATGGAAAAATGCTGTCAAAGAAACACATATATTTCCGGTATGGGAAGAAATTTTCTCTCATCATCCTGCCAATTTCGTAAATAAAAAAACAACCTTTCTGCACTTATGCATGAAGTTCACCTAAATGTGTCAAACATTATCAATATGGAGATAATTAATAATAATTCTCCGTTCACGTCAGGAAAAAAAATCCACTTTATTGGAATGTGATCTATTTCTACCATTCTCAAGAAACTCAGTCTGCAAAAGAACTCAACTAGTCCACTCGATCCAAATTACAGAGCTGAATGAAAAGGAATAATCAAATAATATATGTGCCATTTGTACAATGCATCCATGATACTGAGATTGTTAAATAAGTCACATGACTCAAATTTCAGTTTGAAGTGTGCTAATTCTCTCTGGCATCATAAATCTAGCCAAAATATTTCATAATATTCTCATAACTCTTTTTATTTGTTATTAACTACCTTTTTTAGTTTCTTAATTTGTCTTTTTTTTAACGGCAAATATGTGGAAAATGCAATTTTATAATGAATACTGTATCATCGGTCTCTGCAAAATTATCAGTACCAACGATTTAACTTGGGAATATATACTGTTATGTTTGTGACCTACTATAAGATAAGATAAGAATTCTTTATTTCTGACTGCATAGTCCATACATCTAAATTAAAATACTGATATAGAGTAAAACATTGTAAACATAAAAGAACATATATACATATATATATACACACACATACATACATATACACACACAAAGATATACACATGCACACATACATACATATATACACATATATATATACACACACACATATATACACATATATACACACACATATATATACATATATACATACATATATATATGTATATGTATATATGTATGTGTATCTATATATATGTATATGTATATATGTATGTGTATCTATATATATATATATATATATATATATATATATATATATATATATATATATATATATATATATATATATATATATATATATATATGCATGCATGCATGCATGCATGCATGCATGCATGCATGCATGCATGCATGCATGCATGCATACATACATACATACATACATACATACATACATACATACATACATACATACATACATACATACATACATACATACATACATACATACATACATACATACATACATACATACATACATACATATCACATGTACAAGTATTCAGATACATTTACAATAGTTATTTGCACCATGCATTGTTAAAAAATGAAATTTAAGTGACACATTTAAATAGTAATTGGTTCCATCTACTAACAATGTGAGAATTTAAAATAATGTCATATTTCCAAAGTGATTTCAATATACAGTTCGCACTATTAGAAAGTCTTGTTATCATTGAATATACATACTTTCTCATTACTTCCTCAAAACTTAATACATTATAATTAACAAACATGTTGGAGGCACTGTTCCATCTAGGAAGACCTAATAGAAAGCGAAGAATATTATTATAACCAATTACTAGTTTTCTTTTCACATTTTCACTAAAGTTTGTCTACAATGGAGCACCATACATAGTGCAGCAATAAGATTTGAATAATCTAATTTTGATACTCAATGAACAAGGCTTAAATTTGCGTAGAAGCTTGTTTGTTCGAGTACACAAATGTCGATAATATCTCATCATATCTTCATTATCTGACTGATTGGATTTCAAAATATGGCCCAAATACATATAACTGTCGACATACGTAAGAGCGTTGCCGTTAAGATGTACAGAGGGAGGTGATGATAATTTAAAAGAAGTTGGCTGAAGGACCATGCATACTGATTTTTGTGTATTATAGATGATATCATTCTCTAATGCATATTGTTCACATATCTTCAATAATTTTCTTAAACCTGCGACAGACGGACTTATCAGTGACATCATCGGCAAAGCTAAAATTGTTAAGAAACAGCCCATTTGGTGGCAGACGTAACCCTACGTTGCAATGGCCCAATATACGATTTAAGTCGTCAATGTAAATATTAAATACCATGCGGGAAAGAATACCTCCCTGCCTCACTCCATTGGTTACATGGAAAGCGCTGGATATTATACTTCCCCATCGCACATAATACAACTGTTTGCCATACCAGTTGACTAAAGTATGAATAATGTATACAGGAATTTTAATTTCCAGCAACTTTTTATTTAATGAGTGTCCAATGATTGACTCTATCAAATGCCTTACTAGCGTCTAAAACACATGGAAATACTGGGCTGCCATGTTCCACATAATAGCTAACGGTTTCCTTAAAGGCATAAAGACATAAATCTGTAGAATGCTGCTTTTTAAATCCAAACTGATTATCAGAGATTAAGACTTCGCATCTTTGTAGTATGATGCATTCGAATAGTTTTGAGATAATAGTCGTAAGAGCTATAGGTCTGTAGTTACTGTTGTCCGCTAGATTACCAATTTTGCTTTTTAGTAGCGGTATAATTGTAACTTTTGTGAAATCATCTGGTACAAAGTTATGCACAAACATACAATTAAATAAAACCATTAATAGCCCATTAAGTCTAGTATCTGAATATTTAAAATGTTAAATACTATGGTACGTTCAGGGTTAAACTGTATTTTATTATGCACAATTTGTTGGAATTAGTCAATTTGTATGGATTTCTTTCGCAGCATATTTTACACTAATGTCACTCCTGGCACCTTCTGGCCTTAACTGTTGTAGGGATGTAATTCATAAATGTAGGGAAGATTTCCATTGGTCAGAACATAATCATGTGATCAGATCCAGTTGCGTTTATTTCTGTATAAACTGTACAGAGAACTACTTTATACTTCTATAAATAGAATCACGTGAAAGTAACTAAAGGAATTAGTGAATGTAAGGAATGCCTATTAAACGAAATAAAAATGGTCGGTTTATATTTCATTTAGAAAATTTAATAAATAGATTTTACACAATCAAATAACAAATCTTTATAACTTTTCTGAAGGGAAATAATTCTTTTTTTGATTAGGGTTTTTTTTAATAAAAAAAAAAATTAAAAAAGCTGGGAAATTCAAAATTGCCAAGAATAACATTAGGGCTGTGTTATAGAGCACTTTCACTGCAGCTCGTTACAAATGAATTAAAAATTATAGGTAAATGGATATAGATATAGTTCAAAGACTATCATTATAACAATTGGATTCACAGTCCTCAGTGTAAGACGTAGACTGTGCTAGTTACGATGTGGGGTATAGAAATCCCTTTATTCCCACATCGTTACTGTCATGGTCGATGCCTTGCACTGTTTGACTATTGAAACCTTCATCACTATACATATTTATCGATAGTCCTAATTTCTTTTGTAAATAGCCCCTGTATATAGCCTAAGCTGTTAATAAACGCGAAAATAGATTTAAAGAAACGAAAATTGGTTTCGCACGTGTCTGGACGATAGCAATTCGGACAAGTCACAATCAACTCGTGAGAATATTAAATCCAAGATTCATTTGTATGTCAAACAAAACACATCCTGCTTTGAATATTGAACTAATACTCAGATCACATGACATGCAAGTTTAAATAAAAGATTAAGACCATGGTGTGGAATGTGAAATCTCCTACCATTGGTAGAATTATTTTTTATGCTGCCTATCTGTTACGTTGCAGATGGAGAATCCCCTGTTCTATAAATAGCTGCGTAGCAGACGTCATCAACAAGAATTCATACGCTTAAATTATGCTTTGAAACTGATTGGAAATATTGGAAATATCTATTAAAAAAAACAAACAGCAACATAACAATAAATACAATTATAAATAATTCAATTATAAGAGTTTAATGGGATTTTTTTTCAGAGTTCTTTGGGCGTTATTTTCTATATGATTCGGCTACTGACAGTTTATACCGCAACAAATTCATAAAATAAACAAACAACACTAAACTCTCTGTTGGTAAGCAATGTGTGCGCCAGTTCAGTTGTTTATGGTTGAGCTTACCTAAACCAATTCTTGAGAAAAAAACTGGACATTTATCTTTCTTCTGATCTTTGGCAAGGTTTATCCTTCCTGCCTATTGGTTTCTATTTCATTTTATTGTATTTTATTTATTCTGTGTTATTGTATATCGGCTTCAAAATTAAGCTATCTTCGGCTGCAAGAGCTAATGTTAAAATACAAACTGCTTTTATCCACATCGCTCTGGTGGCCTTGTAGTTAGACCGTCCGCCTCGAATGCGGGAGGTTGCGGGTTCGAACCCCGGCCAAGTCATACCCAATGCATAAAAATGGTACTAACAGCTGCCTCTCACATGACGCTCGGCATTAAGAGGTTAGTGTTATGCCTGGTGTCAGGATAGGAACGGGGTTGAACATCATGCTACCACCGGTTGTTACCCGAGTGTAGTTGTGCCCACTCAGGCGAAATTCGCGCGTTTCGGATCCGTAACTTCAGTTAGGTGCAACGCAGAATAGTTAATGGCGGCTTGATGGATAGAAAAATATCTCAGGAGTAAAATAAGCCATGTAATATGATTGTATGCCGCTAAAGACGGAAAAAGCAGAAGAAAATTGAGGGTCATGGGCGAAACGAAGTGTTTGGAAATTAATAACCTTCTCTGGTATATAGTATAATAGAGAGGGTCCAATGTCAAAACAGGTCATGAGGGGTAATCTTATGTATTTTTGTCCCTCTTTACGACATTTTTCCTTCAGATTATTGTTTGTTTGTTTTTTTTTTTCTTAACTTCAAGTTCGCGTCGAGCACCTGTGCATGCTACATGTCTGCGGCATGATGCCCCAGTGTGATACATCACTATAAACTGCCACACTGACGACTTCGTAGCAATATAATTGCAAAAGTGTTATAGCTATGTTAAAAGCCCAAATCAAACACGCGCTGTTATGTTATTCCCACATGGTGATATTAGACGGATCTGTATATTTAACAATTTTATATCCACTTAGAAGTACATCATCCCAATAGACACCCCTCATGTGCAGTGACAGGCGTCTATCTGAAGCAACCTGTTGGTCGTGGAATGCGCAATTGATGATGATCCAGCTGAAGTGTTGGACTTTTTGACAGACGGCCGTTTATACTGAAAAGTGTGTAACTTGTATTTTAAGAATTTCACGTCTGTTTGCTTCTATTCTTGCTTTGCATGCAGTTCTTGAGTTCTTTGCAGCATATCTACCTATTATATTTTGTCTCATTAATGTACCTTCCTTGCTTTTTGGAGTCTTATTCATTTTTGCTATATGTCTTTTGCTACGCAGGATATAGCCATGACTGTGTTGATGTACCATTAAACATATGACATACCTGTCTAAACACACACACACACACACATCCATCCATACTGCTGTCTGCGTGAGTTCGAGTCTAGGATTCGGCGAATGTGGATATGTGAGAAAGCTTGCCAGTAGCTTCTCGTGGGTCGGTGGTTCTTTCCGGTGATTTCCCGGTTTCTTCCTCCACCATTAATACTGGCCGCCATGAATAGCCTATCGTGTGCTGAAAAATGGCATTAAGCCCAACAACAACAACAACAACCATCCATACTGTACATGGCTATTCACATGAGCAAGATTAAATAAAATATTGCTATTTTACTCTCGTTGCCATCGGAGTTCTATTTTAGTACGTGCATGACCTGATAATGGAATCAATACACTGAGCTTAATGAAGCCAATATCTTGCTTGGAAAGTTAGAGCACGCGAAGCACGTAATTAATTCAGCTCACAAGGCTTCCAAGCCGGCTCACGTTCGTGCGATACGTTGCGTCGTTAGAAAAAAAAAAAACAACAAACTACAACCTATTTCAAATCTATAAAAGAAATTACCTCTGATCACTCAAAAGAAAAAGTACGTTAAAGACACAAACGCCGGAGTTTTCAATGGATTTTTTGCACATCGAATAGAGTATTGAAATTAATATTAAAACGTTAATAGCGAATTTCCAATTCATTGATTCTCTTTGAGGATTTATCGAAAACCTCTGTTCACGCAGTCTTCTAGACGTGGTCGATTGACTAACTACGGTGACTGGGTGCTGATTTTAATATATTTTATAAGAAGATTATGTTCACCTTCTTAATGCCTGTAATTACTCATTTTATCAATAAAACTCGGAATTAGAAATTAAAGCAATTAACGATAAGGTCAGAAATAATTATATGTTAATTGTGTGTTACGTCGATGTAGCTTTTTCGACATGTTAGGGGCTCCGAGTGGCCGAGTGGTCTAAAGCGCTGTCCGTTACGGATCACTGCCATCTCACATCTGTCTGCGTGGGTTCGAGTCCAGGATTCGGCGAATGTGGATATGTGAGAAAGCTTGCCAGTATCTTCTCGTGGTTCGGTGGTTCCTTCCGGTGATTTCCCGGTTTCTTCCTTCACTATTAATACTGGCCGCCATGAATAGCCTATCGTGCGCTGAAAAATGGAGTTAAGCCTAACAACAACAACATCGATATGTTAGTAGCGAACAAAGTGATTGATTCTTGATGCTGATTTTATGCATTTTTATCTCCCACTATGACTTTTCCAGATTACGATATTTATAAATGAAACCATTTAGATAGATTAAAAATATGCAGCAATAAATTACCTTAATACCTTACTGGGAATTAATGGCTATTGATGGGTAAATTTACTACAGGAAGCGTTTTATAGCACTGAAACCATTAGACAACAAATACAAACCAAAATTCCATGAACTTAAATTAGGAAATTATTACGTTTTCTTTGACAGCACAGTTTAGCAAATAATAAAACCAATAACATTAAAGACACCATTAATTATGTATGAGCGATACAAATTTTAAACTTAAAACATTATTCTTTTACGGACTCCTATCGCTGAGATCTTTCCTTTACTGGTTACTATCATCATCATCATCATCATCATCATCATCATCATCTTCTTCTTCTTCTTCTTCTTCTTCTTCTTCTTCTTCTTCTTCTTCTTCTTCTTCTTCTTCTTCTTCTCTGGGCCCGATTGGGTCATTTTGGCGGGGCTCCTAGGATGTATGCACGGGACCCTGTGAGCACGGCATTTTAAAAAACAACTTTGAAACAAGTTTCATTTGATATTGTTCTTCCTGCTCTTTAAAATTAATTTCTCTAGATATATTTTTAAAAATTACCAACGCGCGGGGACCCTGTGAGCACGGGGCCCAATTGGGCAAAATCGGTCCAAGCCTACGAAGGCTTATCCTACCAATGTGTATATGTGAGAAAATTGCCAGTAGTTTCATTTGATATTGTTCTTCCTGCTCTTTAAAATTAATTTCTCTAGATATATTTTTAAAAATTACCAACGCGCGGGGACCCTGTGAGCACGGGGCCCAATTGGGCAAAATCGGTCCAAGCCTACGAAGGCTTATCCTACCAATGTGTATATGTGAGAAAATTGCCAGTAGTTTCATTTGATATTGTTCTTCCTGCTCTTTAAAATTAATTTCTCTAGATATATTTTTAAAAATTACCAACGCGCAGGGACCCTGTGAGCACGGGGCCCAATTGGGCAAAATCGGTCCAAGTTTACGAAGGCTTATCCTACCAATGTGTATATGTGAGAAAATTGGCAGTAGCTTCCCGTAGGTCGGTAGATCTTGTCGAGATCTTTCAAGGTTCTTCCTCCGCCAGTTATACTGGATGTCATGCATAGCCTGTCTTGTGCTGAAAAAAAAACGTTGAGGGTTATTGGTAACACGAATACGTTTGATGGGTGGGTGGGTGTGGTATAGTAAAATATTACGTATATTTCTAATGAGTTTAACGCTACTAACCGAAAAATTGTCATTTAAATATTTATGGACAATCTGTTGTACAGAAAACATATTTATAAAAGTTAAAAATGTTTGTATTTTACGCGCAATAGGTTACGGCGTTGAGATTGCATTAATCTATTCCACTGTAATTATCTTGCTGCATGAAAGACCCAGTGGGTCTTGCGTACAATGCACGTGGCAAACATCACTATACCAAATAATAGGGGCTGCCATATTGGTCTTATTCCATTCAACCCGGTTCTTTGACTGACAATCAATTACACGCATACATATAACCAGATGGCCGTCGATCTTTACATACTGAAAGTACTGCTCTGATCGGTAATGATAATAGCAAAGAGAATTCCGAAACGATCCTGAGACATATGCTAGAAACTGACTTACATGCTCATTTACATTTTACTTCTAATTCTTTTCTTCTTGTCTTTCTTTGCATGTCATATATGCAATAATCCGCCAACGTTCATATCTTAGGTAATACCAGTCCTTAATACCCGTCTGAAAATAGTGAAATGTTCTTGCCATTAGCTAATTTTCCTAATAAAACCACATATGTTATACATAAATGGAATGAATGAATATATATCTTAAAATTGCGAAAACTACTATAGTTGTGGTATGTGTTTGAGAAGGCACTTCCTGCAAAACAAGAAAGAGGGAAGATTATACAAGTTTTACATTTCGTACATTTTGCACTTTACCCATTTAATCTCTAAATTCATTAATTAATGAAATAATGAAACTTAAATGTAGAACAATAGATATATAGAAGGATATATAGACATACAGACAGATAGACAGATAGATAGATGTTCAGAAATGCAAGTGAGCAGGGAATATAAATATTTCAGACTGTTTATATTTTAGATCATTATAATATTCAAGACTAGAAATTGTGTCATTATTATTATTACATACATACATGGTGTTAGTGACTTAATCATAAAATTCTCTTATGATCAATATAGTCCTTTCCACCTTTCTCTAGAATTCAAAGTAAAAAATGAGATAAACGAACTCAATGTATTGTGAATTAAATCCAAAAAATAATCAAAGAATTAAAGACACAAGTCCTAGTAATAATAAGTCCTGAATAAAACTCAATTTAAGTCCCGATAAAATCAAAAATTGAAGGCGATGAGGTTCTGTAATGGTCTGCAAAGTGCTGATGTATCAACAGTCTCTAGTTGAATCACAAATATTATTCCAGGTTTGAATTCAATATATATATATATATATATATATATATATATATATATATATATATATATATATATATATATATATATATATATATATATATATATATATATATATCCACGAATTTGATCATATAACTTTTTGTATTTCCAGAGAAAATAATCGCTTGAATTCAATAATTTAAAGAAAATAAAATTAAACCCAAACTGGACACAACATAATACAACATAAAGTGTTAAAATTTAGACACAACTGGTAAAATCCTCACAGTCACAAGTTAATAT